AGTACTTCTTTGACTAACGGGTTGCTGAAAGATGTCCGGTTGGCTGGTGAGATGCTTTGCGAGATGTTTGAGATTAAGCTGGTACTTTGAGATAGCTTGGGGCTGCAAGGCATGTTATAATCCATTCATATTTGTGAAAAGTAGAATTACATTCAGTGGGCGGAATGCCTATAGTCATGCTAAGCCTTTATAAGTGTAGCAACAAGTAGATGTTTGTCATTAAGTTGTTGGCTCATATGATTGAGGGTGACATTGTTGTGATGTCGTGTGGCCGCAATTGACTAAGCAGCTGGTCCCGTGTGTCAAGTAGTTGTAGGATGAACGCATGATGAATACATTTCCTTCCTCATTAAATAATAGTTTTTAGGTTCTTTAGTTCTTTCACTGGTTGGGCATATAATTATTTGGGTCCATATCAATTTATGTTATCAATTTTTTTCTATTTTTCCATGTTTGTACTTGATTACTTACATGATGACTTCAAGCAAAAGCTTTTGATACTTTGGAATTCAAGGCTATAATCTTGCTTAGGGATTTTTTTATTATGATCTAGACCCATTTTACTGTTTGATAGTCCTTTTCTAAAATGGATAAATTTTATCTCATTTATACCCTTTTTTTTTTTCCAAATTTCCCCTCCGTCCTTTTTTCTTTCTATATTTAGGAAAGGAGCTGATGCTCCGGGACCACAGCAACAAGCTCCTTGCTTGGGATTGTAGTTGTGAAATTTCAAATATAACTTTTAACAACTTTACATGGTATAATTACAGTCTTTTGCTATCCTTGAATGTATTCAGTTCCTCTTCCTTACCATTATTTACTTCCAAACAATGCTATGCAAGATATGACTTCCAAATTTTTGATTAATTTTTTACTAGTAATGTCAGTCTAATATAATTTCTAAATATATTATATATAACAAGATTTGTCTCCAAGTTTCAAGTCATGTGTCATCACCCAATCAATTTTTTCCTTTATATGATAAGTCATTTCTTTCATAATTTTCAACTTCAACTTTTAATAATTAGTTTAAATCATTTATTAATATTTAACTTTTCTCAATCAATTTTTCAGTTTAATTAATGTTCGTGTTCTATAAAATTATATATATTTTATAAAAAATTAAAACTTCATAAGTTAATAAATATATGCATCCCTTGACCATCTCTTACATTGCATAGGTAATTAATATTTATATTACTAAAAGAAGGAGTCAAAGATATGTATCATTGAAAAGAGATTAAAAAGAAATTATAGAACTTTTGGAACATGATTAGCATGGGAATCAAAATGCAAAAGCATATTGCTTGTGCTTGTGTTATTCGCTAGCCTTCTCGTCCTTACCATCATCATCATCTTTGTTCAGTCAAAAGAAACTGAATTCATTCTCAATAAAATAATTGTACGACAATGAACAATATTAGGTGGAAAATCTTTGCGCATATATTGTCTGCCAATAGAATTGAATAATGCTGTGCATTTTCAGTTGTTAATTTTCTTAGCCCACCCTAAATAGTAATGAATCATGACGTCCTCACTGTAGATAAATAATAAAGTATATTTAAAATACAAACTAAAACAATAATTATTTTTTACCCACATATTTAAATATAATACATTAATATAAGTTGGGACTTTAATTTGTTAATTAATCAGAAAGTAACATTTTAGATTGATTATAAAATTTAAGGCCAGTCTTGACATAGTACCAACCAAGAGTTATTTTACAAATTTTTTACCTTTTCCTATCAATTCAGCCAGTATGAGTTTATCAAGTTATTGGGCTCTGATCTCGCTTGTCCGCTGTGAAAAGTACATTGTTATCAAAAAAAAAAAAAAAAGTACATCACACGAGGAAAACGAGCACAAACAACTCAATCAACGGAGATCCTTTTTTTTTTTTTTTTTTTTGCCTCAACTATTTTTTATGTTAATTCGGTATTCATCGGTAAAAGAGATTCGATTAATTTGGATGTGAGTTGGGCAGATTATAAGCATAACAAAATTCTTCCTACTAAATTTTATTATAGGCGCTGTGTATTTAGTATTTAAATTCGAGACCACTAAATGTGACCTACTGTTGTTGTTTTTTTCAATTTAAAAAGTTTTGGATGAAAGTTGACTGAGAAATTTTTTAATTTAAATTAATTAAATGTGAGATTGAAAGGAAAAAAAATAAAAAATAGATTGAGGGGTATAAACTGATGAAATCACAGCCATTTACGGTGGCCACGACGGACAAGCAAGACAGCCATTTACCATATCAATATATCATATGTTATAAGACAAATCACATTGAATAAACATTTTTTACATTATTCTCAACTATATATTTGAATAATTCATAATTATTAGAACATCGCTGCTCCTTTTCTAGGATATGCACTATTCATTTGGCGTTAGCAAATGTCACTATATAAGAAAAAGAATGCAATCATATCAATTATCAAAAGGGTGGAGGACATATATATTGTTTTAAAACTCAGTCATAAATACACATCAAGAAATCGAGAAACTCATTTTAATTAAATGAGTTTATATCTTTAAAATATATAAGGAAAAAATATCTATCCTTTTAAGGGATATAAGTTTATATTCTTTTAGATCCTAACCATTGATTTCTGTCCATCAACGGTTATAATCTATTGGGCCAAACTTAATGGGCCAAAATTATTATTAATTAATTACTAATCTTAATCCAATAAATTATAACCGTTGATAGACGAAAATCAACGGTTAAGATCTAAAAAGATATAAGTTTATATCCTTTAAAAGGATAGATGTTATTCCTTTAAAATAAATAAATAAGATTGGTTTTATTATACTTTAGATTTTTTTATAAATAAAAAGGGCAATAAACTAAAAAGATACACACATAATTCAGCAATCTAAATTTAGATTATCCTAAGAGAGATCATCAAACAGGTTGATGAATTAGTAAGTGATTGTTTCAGCTTAATTAATGGTCTTGAGTTCGAGTATCTAAAAACACAATTGTGTTAAAATTTAGTGGGGAGAACTCTGTCTCCCATGTGATCCTACCCAACTCGAATTGTACAAGTCGTGTAATTGATGAATTTATGGATAATATTAAAAAAAAATATGCTAAAAAGAACTGTTGAGAATTGAAAACTTACTCTTGCGGCATGTGATGATAAATTTCAAGTCGTTCACACTTTTTGATGGCATTGTTTGCAAATCAATGCGCACATTCCTTGTGCTTGTAATAGATGCACCTTGATCGGTTTTCAAAATTCCACCTTCTTTACATTGAGATTTTAGATTATATTAATATAAATTCATCATTATATCACTTTACGACAACCTAACTTGAAAAAAAAAAATTATAGGCACGTGTTATTTTTTTAAGGAGCTAATATGAATTTTCTTTGAATTTTAGAGAGATCACAATTTTAACTAATTAAATCTATTCTGAATTTTAAATGAATTATAAATCGATTTTTTTTTTCTTCTAAAGACTGGAGGAGTCAAAAGGTTGTACACTCTTTTATAAATATCAAAGGTTCGTGGCTACTAAACTCTGTAGCCCCAATAACAGCATGCGTTGCCTGTCTCCTCTATACGCGTAGAAGACAAACATGTATGTTAGTGTTGATGACTCTTATACCAATAATGCAACCAAAGCTACCAGCAAATTACTGCATCCAAGGCTATCCAGCATATCTGGCACACACTGTCTCATTTTGATTATTATTTTTTTTTGAAAAAAGAAATTAAAAAATGTTCTTGTGCCCAAAGTTGAAGTTCACTCATATTGCTTAATGTCTATCAACAAATTATTAATTAATAATGTAAATTGTTTGATTAGCATATTATTTATATATTTTCAAAAGAAAAAATTAATGTAACTAAATAACAAATATTTTTAACTATTAAATCGGCAATGAAGTGTGAGAGGTATATAGGAATAAGAAAATTGTTTAACAAAAGAGATTATCCCCTCCACTCTGGAAAACATGACAGAAAACTTTATAAAGAAATAAATATTATAATGGAAGGGGTGGGTCAAGAAAAAGTATGATCTGAGTTGTAGTGGTATACAGTGGCGGATGTAGGTACTAGAGAAGTGAGCAAGTGCCAATCCTTAAAATTTGATATAAAAATATGAAAATACCCTTCTCTTAAAATTTAAAATTTTTTAATTTAATTTTGGGGTAGGATATTGTAACAACCAATTAGGGTTACTACTAATGTTACTACCAATCAATTTCACCGTTAGATCAATTATGTTGATCAAACGGTTATATTTATTTTCATCTTTTTATGATTACGATTCTCTATATTTAATACTTTATATTTATTTTCACTGTTATAATTTCTCATATTTAATGTTTTTATATTAAATATGGAGATCATAACTATACAAAGATGAAAATAAATATAATTTTTGATCAATATAATCGATCTAACGGTAAAATTGATTGGTAATAACATTGGTAGTAATCCTAGTTGGTTGTTACGATATTCTACCCCTTTAATTTTCCTCATTTTATTTTATTTTCTCGTGAGTTTTTTTTTTCTCCTCCACCTTTGTGATCCAAACCTAACAGCAGAAAGCTCTACTTCAGACACATCATTTGCATCTACATACTGATTCGTCTCCTCTCAAATCTCAATATCCGTTAGTGGAAGTTGAAACATTTGTTTCTTCCTCTATTATTGATCCAGTTGAGTCGCAATCCGTCCCGATCTAGATCTAAACCAAATCCAACCAGCCGGCAACTGCTCGCAAATCGCGTTCAAGACCAGACTTAGATCTATATGTACTTGAACTTATTGAGTGTCCACCTTTCATTAATTTTCTGGATCCGCCACTGGTGGTATACATATTCCAATGTAATTAAATAATCCAAGTATAATGAATTGAATGGCCCATTTTAATAAGGATCCGTGATATGTTACTAATGTCTATAAATGAAGCTTTAAAGATTCAGTCTAAATCGCTTCCCAGAGATTAATTGAAAGAGATTTAGCTGGATATGGGAGAAATACAAAGAGAGCCAATGTCAGTGAGGAACAAGGAGGAGGAGGAGGAAGAAGAAGAAGAAGCGCAAGTTCAAATTTGGAAGTACATATTTGGGTTTGTTGAATTGGCAGTAATGAAATGTGCCATTGAGCTTGGCATAGCTGATGCTATCGAAAGCCATGGAGTCCCCATGACACTTTCAGAGTTATCATCAACTCTAGGGTGTGATCCTTCCCTTCTTAACCGCATCATGAGGTTCCTAATGCAAAGGAAGATATTTAAAGCCATACCCACCAGCCATGGCTTCTCGGGCTATGCTCAAACACCGCTTTCTCGCCGTTTGATGAGAAACGGTGAACATAGCATGGCTTCTTTACTTCTTCTGGAGAGTAGTCCCGTAATGCTAGCACCTTGGCATAGTCTGAGTGCTCGTGTTTTGGCTAATGGCAATCCTTCATTTCAAAGCACTCACGGTGAAGACGTTTGGCGCTATGCTTCGGCAAATCTTGATCATAGCAACCTCATCAATGAAGCCATGGCTTGTGATGCTAAGTTGGTTGTGCCTGCCATCATTCAAGGTTGCAGCGATGCATTTGATGAACTCAGCACATTGGTGGATGTTGGTGGCGGAAACGGCGCCACCTTGCGCCTCATCCTTAAGGCTTTACCATGGATTCGAGGAATCAACTTTGATCTTCCCCATGTCATCGATGTTGCCCCAAAGTGTGATGGGGTGGAACATGTAGCAGGTGACATGTTTCGAAGTGTTCCCAAAGCGGATGCTGTTTTTCTCAAGGTATGTCTTACAGGGGAAATGTTCTATATTTACAAAAAAAAAAAAAAATTATTTACAAACTCAATTAGTGTTTTTAGAAATATACTCACTTAAAAATGCATTCTCAGAAATACATAATATAATTTATAAGAATAATATATCTCATATTATAATATATAATTAAATTATTATTGAAAAATATTGTTAATTTATAAATAAGGAAGCGGATGGTTTGATTGATTGATTGATGTGTTACTTGTGAAGTGGGTTTTGCATGATTGGGGTGACGAAGAGTGCATCCAAATATTGAAAAAGTGTAGGGAAGCAATTCAAAAGGAAAATGGAAGGGTTATAATTGTGGAGGCAGTGATCGAAGAAGGAGGGAAGCAAGACAGGTTAAAGGATGTAGGATTGATGATGGACATGGTGATGATGGCGCATACTAACTTTGGCAAAGAGCGCACCCTGAAAGAGTGGCAATATGTCATCAAAATGGCTGGATTCACCTCATATATTGTGAAACCCATAAATGCTGTGCAGTCCGTCATTATTGCTCGCTCTTAAAATTATGACAAAAACCAAATTCTCATAATCAAGAATCATAAGCCTTGGCTTCTCAATAAAATGCATTAAATATTTTTGTTAAAAAATAAAACATGATCCGTCTTGTGTGGGTTGGTAGCCATGAATGTCAAATCTAGCAATGGTAAAACGTAAAATGTTGTAATAGTGTGATTTTTTTTTTTTTTTTAATACTTTTGTACAAGGCTATAAGCCTCTGAGCTCTATATCAATCAATGAATTCAAGGAGTTCTGATAATCCTTTCCTTCCACCAATTGTTTCGAGCATTTGACAGAGGAGAAAATAAATTTTATTTGGGAATATAATAGAAAAGTGAATTTTTTGAAGAATATTTTCAAAAAGTTGTTTGGTAAATCAAAATATTATCGAAAATATTGACTTAAGTTTCCCGACCCATGGTAATCCAAGAATACCTTCCTTGGAGTGGTATTTTTGAATGATATTTTGGTTAGAAAATGGAAAAAGTGTGTATCATTTAAAAGGAGACACAATTGTGTCATTTTAAGCGAGAGAAAGAGATAAATTATGGGAGAGAGAGTGGAGGGAAAAAGTTTTAAAATTGTGAATCTCACCTCTTTGTGAAAGTAAAAGGATGTAAGATGTATCATTTAAAATGACACACCTTCTTCCCTTAGAAAATACACACAAAATGAATTATCACGAAAATCACTTTTCAGAGATTTTTATTTTTAAAATGCTATCAAACATGATATTTTTGAATACTCATTGTTGCCTGGCTAACAATTATGCAAGTATACGCATAAATATACGCGACAACAAGAAATACAGGATTTAAATGAGTCCCAATTATCGTTCCCACAAGGATCTTAACATTTTTTAACTTGCTAAAATTGGTGATTGCTAAAACTAAATTTAATCTAAAAAGAGAGTAATAATAAAAATAAAAAGGAAACTTTTTTCCCTTTTTATTTGGGTTTGTTTTTTCTGATGTTACTTTAGATAACTTTATCTAATGTTAATCAAAACGACGTCGTTTTGATTAACATTAGATAAAGTTATCTAAAGTAACATCAGAAAAAACAAACCCAAATAAAAATGAAATAATCAAAAGACTTAAGGTTTTTCTGGTTTAAGGCTGCTTTCATTTTTCTTTTGCATAAAATCTAAATTAAGGATTGAAAATGCTTTAAAAAGAAAAGAAGTGTAGCACAAAAATACATTGGTAAAAGTATTTAAAAGAAGTGGTTGAGCCTTCGGCCTTCCTTTCCCAAAACACTAAATAAATGAAGATGTTACCAATTTGCTAGTCAATTTTCTTTGGTTAACAGACACAATAAATAACTTTTAATCTCTTAAAAATTAGTTTCTCCAAATTCATCCACGGACATATGCCTATGTCCATGTGGATAAAGAGCTTTGAAGATCAAGTCCTTGGTTACATGATGGGTTACTTCAAGTCTGAAGTAAGACCCCTTGAACAATTTTTTATTCAAGCTCATGTGCTCCAAACAAGGTCTAGAAGTTGTTTCTCAACAACTTATTCTTAAACAAGCCCCTGACATTCCGACCGAAAATGCAGAAAGCTTCACAAATAGAGTACAGCTTGGAACGACCAAATTTTAAAACAATAACTAGTTCAGATAACATCCATTCACATAATGTTGAGGTTCAGGAATGACCTACACTCAACCTCAAGAAAATTAGCTCATACCCATATGTACACGAGTCCATCTGACTCGACTCTCAGATATCCCTAGGACACCTATGCACTTTTACTCTTCCTTATAAGAACTTCCATTTCTGCTAGTAGATCCCTTTGCATCTTCAATATCTGTTCATTCTTTCTATCATTGTCCTACATAAAGCAAATGTAAATTTTTTATTTTTCTTTTAAATTAACACAAATAAAGTGAATAGAACAGAAGAACTGAAAATAAATGAGTATCAAAACCTCTTTCATTTCTCTCAATTCCGAGTCCCTGACTGTAAGTTTAGACTCGGCCACATACACTTGAGAGTTCAAAGCCTTCCGTTCTTGCTCAAATTTCCGTTGAAGAGAACTAATCTGCATCACCCCCGCCAAAATTATGTTGATTAAGCATCATCTTGAAATTATATATTTTAATTTTAAATACCGGGTTTCAATAATCTATTTTACCTCTTCAGCATTCTTCTTGTCAAGCACAGATACCTCATCTTCACAAAGTTTTATCTCATCTTCAATTTTTTGTAACACCTATTAGGTACCAACAAAATCCACAATTTATACACCAAAATTGAAAAAAAAAAACTATATCAATCAGAAAGAAATGAACAAATGAATAACCAGTTTCAAAAAGTATCTTTTTGATAGTGTTCTCTATCACCAGATTACTAAACTCAGCCATATTTTCTTCTATGTTTCTTTTTTCTTGAATTTTAGCCTAGTAGATTGCATAATCATTAAGACGGGACAATAATGAAAGGATAAAAATAAGACCGATTCCATGCAGTTAATAATTAAAAACTTTACCTGAAGTGCCTTATCTTTTTCATCGCATGATGATCTAAGCCTATCAAATTCTTTTTCCTCTATTTTTTGCTTCTCACGCAATTCTTCCTGCAACTATTCAACATACAAACTTTTATAACAATTGACTGAGAAATGTGCATTATACATCCTAACAGCAAAAGGGTAGCCCAGTGAATGAGGTTCCTACTTCGCACCATGGTAGGGATTAGGGAGGGCCAGATGCACACAACCTTACCCCTGTGAGCAGAGGGACAGTCCAAAACTAGAACCCATGACTACCTGGACATAAGGCAAGTTGCACCAAGACTCACCCTCCAGGGATACTATACAGCAAAGGAATAAAATTCTTGTATTTAACTGATTGATACATCTAAGCAGGCTTATTTCAAAAGATTTGTGCATCTAAAAGATCATGTCTATACATAACATCAGAAAGAACAAGTCCCCTTACTCTTTGAAAAGAAAACTAGCACCAATGCTCAATTTTGAGTCTTGTGGCTCTCTATTCTAAAACCAAATTAGGATAAGCAATATTCTTCACTCTTCACGTGGAAGCAAATAACCCCTACAGGTTTATTTATGCAATAACTAATAAAAAAAGTCTTATGGGTTTAATGGTTCAGTTTGGTGTTTGGTGTACATCCTGCACAACATACTCTAGCATAAATTATAATCTTAGACAGACTTGATTAGCATTCCTTTTGAGACTCTTCAACAACTTTTGATAAATATTGAACACACTTCTCATATAATTACAAATTAGGAGGCTTAAAATTATTAGAAATATCTTCATTCAAAGAACCAACCACAGGGGAACGTACTTTGGAATTGCCCAGCAGATTTACATCATTCATGTGTGTCTGAACAGCTACTTTAATTTCTTTTCCCTACAAAGAAGGTTGCCAATGAAATTAAATAACTCCAAAGTGACAAAGATATTAATCAAGTGCAAAGAACCAAATTAAGAAATTGAAGATTAAAACGTCAATGAATGTGTTAATGATACCTGCTTAGTTTCAAACCGGCATGTGTGAACAACACCTGCAACTAGCATTTTAAAAAATACTTCCTTTTTTGCGTTTCCATATTCCCTTATTTCTCTAAACTTAGTTGAGTGCATATGTTCCTGGGGAACTGGACGGAAAAAATGAATCTGTGGACAAAAGGAAAAAAAAATCCAAATAAAAACACAACTTTTAAATATGAAAGTTTTAAACCTTATAATATTATAATTTAATCATTTTTTTAGTCTTACCCCTCTCTTGTTAATTCCCAGTATTATTCGTCCAGATAGAAGTCCAATAGGATCATCAATCTTGCGAACATTGAAGAAAAAAGAATGCCCATAAGGAATTTTCTCAACATATGCAAGAATTGATGTCTTGCATCATCTTTCGTCATATGCTCCTGAAAAGGAAACATCATTTTATATCAGAGAAGATTAGATGAAAGAATTCAGCAGTATATTTCATCAAATGTAATAAGTATACCAGAAGCAAATATCGAATTCCGAAATTAAAATTTATACAAGTGGAAAATGACTAATGTTAGATGTGAAGTGAAGGGTTTGAAATAAAACCAATAACACAAACTACAAAAAGAAGAAATTACTCATACTTGTCACTGATTGGAGGTTAAAGAAAAATAAACAGAGGGCCTAGGCTCCTCTATAAAACAGTATCCCAGTCCCATACCAGTGAATGATAGCAAGAAATAATCTCCAACTCCCATTCCCGCTTTGCTGGTGTCATTGCAATTTGTCTCGGCAGAAATCGCTCCAGCAATGAATTCCAGTCACTGATTAATACAGAAATCTCAGTCAGTTGAAGTCACGAGAGAATAGAAAATTGTGAAGTTCACTCACCAGAACATCAATCAAAAGATGCTCTAAACACTATTGAAGATACTTCAAAACAAGATGAACCATACTTGTAAATAGCCCCGCTTTAGCGTGCTATAGCGGAGTTGCGTTGCGGTGCAGCGGCTGACTGCCATAGGCCGTGCCGCGACGGTTAGGTGAAGTGTAGCGGATGTAGCGGCCGCTATTGCTGCTGAATAGCAGCACTATTGCGCCGCTACAGTAGTTTCTGCAAAAGTGTTCTTATCGTAGAAGGAAGAGATTTACAACTTAGATACAAGTTAAAGTGAAGATGAAGATTTGGATGTTCATGATTTTAATTATGATTAGTTCCTTAAGTTCTTTGATTTTGACATTTCACTTAAGTGGCAGTTTGAATTTTGACTAATTTTGCCACTTTATTTTGTTGTGTTACATTATTTGAGACATTACTTCTTTCAATTTTCTTATGATTTGAATTTTAATATTTGAAATCAATTATTTTTGAGTTTGAGATCCTTCAAATTTGTTTTTTATGTCACATTTTCACATTTTAAGTTTTATATTTGAGGAGTACAATTTAGTGTATCACTTAGGTACACTTTGCACAGTAGCATTGTAGCGCTACCCACTATAGCGCTATAGCAATTTGGAGGGTCAGCCGCTACGCGCTGCTATCCGAGATTAATAAGTATGATATGAA